CCACCCTTACAATTTCATGACTCCTAAATGCGCCAATGAAGTGTCAAACCATTCTGAGATATAAATAAATATTCCAGACAGAGAATTCTTTTCTCTATATGGCATGTATTTATTTGATAAACAATGGTAGTTGAAACCCAGATTTATTTGACTGAGGTACATACCATGTACATAAGAATATCTCTTATCATGACCATGGCTGTTTGGTGGTCGTTCCACGCTGCATTCAAAGTTTGTAGAAAATTATTATTTAATGCTTTTAACACATCCTCACGAACCTACATATAAAAAAAAAAGAAGAAAAAAAACAAAGCAAGATAATACAAATATCTTTATTACATTTAATCATTGAAGTAAATAAGAACATTTAAAAGTAGATGTTTATAAATTTCAAATAATCTGGCATCCAAGACATAGACAAATTACTGTTAAACTACAGTACTTACCTTCGAAACAAGATGCTCTTGGACAACCTCTCTTAGTCCTGTGTATAACCTTTCACCATGCTTGTGTAGAACCATTGTGTATGCATTTCGGTAGAGTTCCTCAAAACTAAGACCACTGTTATTTTTCCGTTGGATTTCTTGTATCGCATTCTTCAAAAGAGCCCAGATATTGGATACATACTTTTCGTCCATGGTCATCTAGAAAATAAACATACATAAATATTAAATAATATACAGCAATAATTAAGAAAAAAATTTTGAAGCGGACAAAAAACAAATTAACTAACCAAACAAAGTACTCATACATAGGATATAATTTTCAGGATTAGGGATTTTGTTGTTGAACGACAATTATGTTGGTAAAATGTGTACAAAAGTTTACACTATGTTCATTTATAGGCAAAGTTAAGGCCCTAGATAGATGCAAATCTCAATCATCCAACTAAAACAGAAACATTAATGAAACTTACCGGGAAAGCCCTTATCCGCATCTTCGTACTTGAGCCTTCTTTTTTTGAACTCTTGTGACTAGACATGCTTCAATATATTTTGGCCAAGTTGCTCGTTGTCAACCAATTAATTAAGAATGAAAGTGTAGCACTGAACTTAGAACAAATAGTGCAATACCATCTTCATCTGTATGTAATGAATCAGATGTATTGATCAGCAGGACTGATATTTTTTCCTCTCCAGTCTTCCTTCCTTGCTATCTCAAAATATACATAAAAATTGTGATATAACCACCGGCATCGATTTCGTACAGAAACTAAACACAAGTCTGACGTTTAAAACGATAGTAATAGCTACGTTTATCGCTGATGCTTTCCTAAACCAACTGGCGCTTCTCCAAGAGCTAGGCTATATCTGGTTCTAGCTCAGCACCCAAAACACGGCAATCAGTTGTCAGCTGGCTGCCTGCAGATAAGGCTGTGCCAACAAATCCGTTTGGGTATGAATAATTAATAAAGTGTAATTTTACCTAATAAAAATAATTTTTGATTTGTCTAAAAGTTTCAACCAAACCAACATAGAATGTCTGCAATTGGGACTCTTACACAGCAATTTAACATCAATTTGAGGATGATTTGATGACTACCGATCTTCCTCCTCTTTCTCTGTAAACTGGCTGCAGAGTGTAAGTCAATCACTGCCGTAAAACGCCCATTGTTAAGGAAGAACTAATTTCTAACATCAAAATTGCTATATTAATTATAATATGATAAGCGAGCCTCTCTGTAATATATGTAAATAATAAAACATCTATCAACTCTAAGTCGAAATATAACTCCACTAGTATCAAATCTGTTTATAAAGCTGATCTTTTATTAGGCGGATGACTAAGAATTTGTATTGAAATAGCAATGAGGTAGTAGTCCATTTTTTTAATTGTGACGTCACATATAATTGTTATTTGTTGCTGGTCAACTTTATACGATTAATGATATATATTTATTTAGCAGTTCACAATTTCCGACAAAATAATATTAGTAATATAATATTTAATAAATATTTTATTGATAATATAATAATAATGTTATTGTTATCTATTTCAATATTTTGTAATTAATATTTTATTAAAGACTAAAGATGGCAGCCTCCATACATAATTTCAATAAATCACAACACGAACTAAGCCTAGGGCCTAGGCCTAGCTTGTCTGTACTAGCTGAGCTGGTCAACTACCAGTTGTGTGGTGTTTAAACTATGTTTGTTGTCGTTCAATATATTGATATTGTGTAGTCTTAGATTATGAAATTGTTCTGGAAACAATATGCTGACGGTTAAAGTTGATGTGTCTGCCCTTCGCGAAGATGCTCCAAAAATGGTAAGTTCCAAACACAGATCACGACAGTCGTCGACGACGACGGTACCGAACGGTATCATGAATGGAAAATTACCCTGCCTGGGCGTATCCTACCTAGAACCAGGTGTAGGCGGGTCATTCTTCGCTAATGTGCCATTTCAGAGGTTTAGAAATCATGAAAAAAAAAGTTTCACATTTGTAATTCTTTTATTAAACATGTCACCATTATGCCATATAACAAATAACCATTCGGCACGATAATTAGGGCATTTTAAACGCTTACTTAAGCATTCAATTTTCAGTGCTGTAACGTCATAACAAATATTTCAAGAACCATCTCCATCACACTTTTTTGTGACGGAGATGATGATAATACACATAGATGTGAATCCTAGTAAATTTAAAAGATAGATTGTATTATTTAAACATAGGATAATAAACATTGAGCAAAAAGGTTTCTAACAACATAAACCAGATCAATTATCATTTTTATTTTATATTCATTTTTGAGGAAAGAATACATCAAGAAGTCATCTCCGTCACAGTAAAATTGTGATGGATATGACTGTGACGGAGATGAGGAATTAAGCTTTTTACATCATATCGTCGCTGACATCACGAACTAACACAATCAAAGTAGATTGTGTTAGTTCGTGAAATCACAGTAGAGCGTCAAAACGAGTGCGTATTGGTTGTCAAGCAATTTTGTATTCTTTACCACACAAAAAGTCCTTAACAACAACAGCGCGTATTTTGACGTGCTTTTTTGATTTCACGAACTAACACAATTGAATTTAATTGTGTTAGTTCGTGATGTGAGCGACGATATAGTGCCATTGCAGTGTGTTACAGGGTGAATGCCATCATTAGCTCAACCCGCCCTCGATAAACTAACGTTACGTTATCTCACTATATTAATTATAGGTAAACGGATTAGTTGCCTTTTTTATGAGGTTTTAATTGTTCTTAACCGCCGAAAGTGCGGTATTCTAACGTTAGTTTATGGAGGGCTGGTCGGCCTAATGATGTGCACTTTGAAAATGACACAGTTCTGATCGTATATATAATTTTTTTTTTTTTTTTTAAATAATAAATAAAGCATACTCTGAAGCGTTCGGAGATGATGCTGAATAAAGGTACTTTTCTGGTTGTATTAGAATTGCATGAATTTTTCAGCTATAGGTGGTTTAACTGTATAAGAATGGACTGTTTCTTACTGTATGGTCCCCTTCAACCAAAATGGTTTGATCCATAACATGTTATGTCATTTTGCTAACAGTATAATGGCATTTTAAAGTATTGTGACGGAGATGACGACAATTCAGGGACAAACTTTTTTAGTCTAAAAAAGTCAAATTTTAAGTATCTATAGTTCTATTGATGTCATTTTTAATTTTACATTTGTAAGACATCTATAATTGTATTCACCTTTTTGTGGTATAGTTATTTATTTAAGTTATTTATTTTACAAATTATGACATTAGGAATTCTTAAGAAACCCAATCGGGACATGCATAGTGCGCGACTTTGGAGGCTTTTTGTTGAAAAATAAACAGCATGTTGATTACGTTTAAAATATTTAACAACTTCCATTAATAAATATGTTCAAGATTGAATTAACGCAATAAAAATAAAATTTCCTTTAATATTTTTAAATTTATACTACATTAAAACAGAGGAACTGGAAAATGGCACATTAGCGAAGAATGACCCAGGCGTATATAAGCTCATTGATCGTTGGTAGACAACTTGTGTTTGTGGTACATCTGGTACAGACAACAAAAAATTTTGTAACTTGAAATCACTTTCGATACTGGCAACCAATGAAAGAATTCCTGTTTTAATATGTCTGGCCTTTTATAATTAAAAATTTTGCGAGCTCCGTTCCACTGCTTTAAGCCCAGGTTTTTTTTAATTTTAGTGCTAGGCCTATAATTTAAATAAAATATACTGCCAGTCAGTGGCGTATCTAGGACTCAAATTATTTAAATGGAGAGGGGTTTGATGAGTGTGGTGAGGTGAGGGGGTGCCAGCTTGCAAAATAAGGTGATTTCTAACTACCGTAAAGCCTCAAATTGAATTCAGCTAAGTTCTCTCCAACCAACAAATTCAGAACGAGGATAAACATATTTATAAATTCGGAAAAATTATGCAAGAATAACAATTTCTATAATTAAACGGGAAAATATCTAAGACGTATGATTTATTCTACGATTTCTTTATCATGTCAGGAAAACATATATTCACTCCATACTGTAAAGTTTTTAAATTGCATGGATGTTACCTCAAAACTAGCTCAAATTCGTACGGAATATAGGTGAGCAAAAATCATAACTACTGCATAATACATTGGTTATTATATTAAAATTATGTCAAAACCTAATTTTTGGAAAAAAAATTAGGAAAAATCGACCCTTATGTGCTGACGGATTTCTAGGCCTTATTTTTTTGCGCTGTGCAGGCCTTACTTATGGTCTGGCATTCATTGTAATATTACCGTATCGTATAATGTACTGGAAAGCAGCCAAATTATTACTGTAGGCTAATTAACAGTTGTAACCAGGCCTGGTTGTAACTGCAGTGCGGTGAAATTATAAAAGTAAAGCGCATCAGCAGCACTGATGATCAGAGTCATTGCTCAATTCCCCGGGGGAATTTTTTTTTTTTTTTTTTAAATACAAAATTTTTGGCCTTCTCTTTGCCCAGAGACAATCACTTTTGGACTATATAGTGTTCTTTCTGGATGTAGCAGATCTGGCAGAGTAATGTATTTTAAAACCTACTCCCCCACAGATTATTTAAATCTTTTGATTTTTTATATTGATAGATAATTGTAGAAGTTCCCTTGGCATCTAAAGTGGAAGAATTAACTGACTTTGTTGTTAAAGACATTCAGAATGGAGATAAGTGAGTATCAAAACCGAAGTATTTTCCTGTATAATTATAATGTATTATGCTGTGAAAATATATTTCAGGGAGATAAATAAGTAATTTAATTTGCCATGATATACCACTGCTGTGAAGACATCTATATTTTAAGTGTCAATCCTTAAACATTTCACCAGTCCATAAAAAAATATTAAGGTTTTGAGAGAAAGGTATTACAGTATTTATTATAAGATGAGCAAGTACGCAAGTGTAATTTTCATTAATTTAATCATAAAATGTATAGACCCACATAAGTGGGATTTATTGATAAGTGCCCTCTACCACTAATTGTATAATATATTCCAAGAATTTCCCTAAAGCTCTTTCCACACTATCACATTTCATATATAAATTTGTGTGATGGACACTGATGATCACCCAAATATGGGCATATCACAGTTTATTTGCCACATAGAATTTGTTAATGTTATATATATGTTTAATAAGTATTCTCGTGTTTATATGAAATTTTGTGGTGATATAATTATTATGTGAATACTTTACACGAAACTTACTGATATCTCTTTCTTTTCTTTGTGTTAAAGTACAGTTCTTAAACTTTTCAATGTAATATTGAAACCTTTTTTGATCAAAGACTTGAATTCTTTTCTAAAGAGTGGAAGCAGATTCTTTACACTTTTGGACAAGGACCGGAAAGCGATTGCACAACAAGTATCTACTGCGACGTACACGCCCTACTGACCAGCCTTTCCTAGTCGCCGAGGTATCCTCCTCCTGTTCCAAGCCTGTGCAGTCTGACAGATCTGAATTGCAGACTAGAGGAAGCTCATCAAGTCTGATAAATGGTTTGGCGCATGACCATCATAGATCAACAAGGGAGAAAAAGTCTAGGAAGACACTGTCTGGAGTTACCGATTCTGAATTCTGTAACCACTCTAAAAAAAAACGTATAAGTAAAGCAGAAAAAACAATCAAACGAAAACTCTCTGATAATGGGTATCTGGATTCAAGGACTGCATCTAACAATCTGGTGAAAACAGGAGAGGGTGCAATTGAAATTCCACAATATGAAACATGTAAGCCAGATGTTAGAGAGGTTTTCCAGAATGGCTCTAACAACCCAGATCGACTTTCACCCAGCAACAGATCTACAATTTTTCCTACACAATCAAATGCTGACATAGTAAAGTTTAAAGATGAAATGGTACATTCGGCAACAGAAGTTTCAACCAATCATATGTCAGAACAAGATATGTCCTGTTGTGATGGAAACGATGACAGCGATGATGATATTCAGATCATTGATGTTACTGGCGAAGAAACAGTAACCAATCAACAGATTGTGTACTACATGACAGGTACTAACTAGTCCCACTTGTGCACATCATAATTAAGAGAGAGCCCATAATAATCATTTGATGCTCATTGAAAAATATATTTTCTCTATGTGTTGGCTGATTTGTATATTGAAGTATGTTATTAACTTACATTTAAAAAATTTAAATGAGAAAAAAAAAACTTTCCTGCCAATAACAACTGACAGTTAAATAATACATTTTTTGTATTCTTTTTGTAGACCCTTATATTGACTGGTAATCAATTTAAATTGTGTTGTAGTAAAATTTCAGTAAATAAGTGAAGAAAACTAATTTTCAATCTATTTCTGGTTGAGTTAATAACCTTTCAGTGTTCAGAAATTTAATTGATTTTAAGGTTTTTCCATTTTTTTTTAGGCAGACTGTACATCTATAAAATCCTAACAAAAAATTATAATGAAAACTTGTTTTTAATTATTATTTTCCAAAGTAGTTTTGATATTTTTCTACTTTAAATACAAATTAAATCACTTATTTTTTTTCTGCAATTAAAGGAATTTTTCAGAGGTATCAAGAAAAGAGACACCCAAGGTCACCAACATTTGAAGTGGTAATGAAAAAGCTTCAAGAAGCCTATCCACAAAATATGAATGGAAGGTAGAATAAGTATTCAATTTCAAATTATTTATTTTCTCTGCAAATTTTAGCAGAATTAAATACTACTAGTGCAATTTCACTATGTTGCACTCTACCCTGGATAGATCTGTCTGTAGAGTGAAAGTTCACACAGACATCTTTAGGTCGTTGGTTTTGAATCTGACCAACCAGGTTAGTTCAGTCAGAAGAGCATGAGACTCTTAGTCTCAGGGTCATTGTTATCATTGTCATTGGGTGGTAATTTTTTGAGATGCTTATTTGGTTAGAATGCCTGACTAGTAAACAGGAAAACCTCAGTTGAAATTCGGACAGTACCTATTTTCCCCAAATTTTCAATTTTGAACTTGAAGAAGAGCTCATAAAAGAATATTTATGATCATTATTATAAAAGTAGGCTCCCAGCGGGAGCATGTGTCTACTGCCTTATACAGGAGTTTTTGTTTTTTTAATTTTATCTTATGTTCTTTCATAACAATATTGTGTATAGGCCTACTACTAAATTGCACTAAAAACACTTTAAAAATGAGCAACTCTTGGAGTTATCATGTTATGTCATTCATCACGAAGAGTACTACCATGTTCTAGAGGGCGTCCTTCAAATGACGGTAAAAGGCGTTCGTGGCGAACGCGTGCTGCGTCTCTATAACGCAATTTTGTCCGAGTTCCGAACGCTATTTGATTGTCAATAGAGCGCCCCTACCTCGTGGTAGTAGTACCCATCATGTCTAAACCGGATTTACCATTTTCCGCCATCTTTAATTGCTACATCATGGCATAGTGTCTATGTCCCCACTGGGGGCAGTAGACACAAAAACAACTTAATTCAAGCCCCATTAAACCATTGAGTAATAATCATGATCATTTTATGCTACAAGGGTGCAGGGATGTACAGTAGCTGGAGAAAACTAAGAGTGGGTGAAAACATCGGTAAACATGGGCAAGGGGGTTAATAATAAAGTAGGTGAAAGGCCATGAAATTAGCTATATATTGGGTGAAAAACTAAGACTGGGTGGCCCCGCCCACCCCTGCCCAACATAACTACATACCTGATGGTGCATTGGGCTTCTTAATTTGTGGCCTACAGTACCGCTGTAATTTTGCAAGGCAACACTAAGACCTTGCATGGCAAGCAGTGTACAATTAAACATCAACAATTAAATTTCATACCAATTTTGATCTGATTTTGATTTTCATTTGTAACTTAGGTTACATAATATTGAGGAATGGTAAAGATCAATATGTTTGGATCAATTAGTATAAAAAATATTCATAAATTAATTAATAAATTATATTTTTTTTTTATCTTGTTTTTATAAGGGAAGCAATGGTGAAAACTGTCTATGAAGAATTATTGCAAAGTTGTCCTAAGCGTAACCGTGCCCCAAAGGTTGAGGCTGTTGTAGGATGTTATAAACTGACTGAAGAAGACTTTGCAACCTTACAGGAGGGATGCTGGTTAAATGATAATGTGAGAAACTTTTTTTTTTAATATTGTAAGATCAATGATGGGTGCAGATGTTGGGATTTTTATATTTTTCATTTAGTTTGCTATCTGTATTTTCATTATAGGAATTTTGCAATTTTTTTTCTTCATTCTGTAAGTGGCGGATTTGGTTAATAAATAAATTAAAAATAAATTTTAAAAAAAATAAAAAGATATTTACTTATTTTATCAACAATTTTTACTTTTAGATTATAAATGCTTACTTATACCTGTTAACGGTGGCTGATCCTACTGGTATGGTGTATGCTTTCAGCACATTTTTTTACCCAACATTATTGAAAAAGGGATATAATTCCATCAAGAAATGGACTAGAAAGGTAACCTATAAATAATCTTCAATTCCTACATTTCTGATATGGTTTTTTTTATGTTCTTTTATTTTGACATTTGAACGTTTCAAAGCAGAATGTTGTTGTGGGATAATCTGTAAATTGATGAACAGAGAAGTCATGATGCTGACCTCATAAATTTATCAATTGAATGACTTTGGGTAGGGAACATAACTGGCCTGTGGCTTCTCATAAACAACCAACAACTGAGCTTGTAAATAACAGGGTGTATGACAACAACAGTTTAGTATTTTGTTTCAGTGGCACAGTTTTACACTTTTACACAGCAATATAATACTGTAATGTGCTATTTATATAGTACATAAATATTGTACTAACTGCCTCTGCTTTTATATTTTATTTTTATGCCCAGGGCCAAGGATATATGCCAATAGCAAACTTAATCACTTTTTAAATGGAAATGTATGTCTTCACAAGATTAACCTACACAAACAATACTTTACCTAATTTTAATTATCATAGGAGGCTTAAGGAGAACTTCATGAAGCAGGCAATCGTATACCCACACCCACACACATGGTCATATATTAGACCTTAAGCTTTGTCTAAACTATAAAGTTACAAAATACATTATATGGATGTGATTTGTTATCATCTTGCCCATATACGGGGGTGATATTGTTGATTTGATTTTGCTTATTTTATTGTATATATTTTTAGGAGAATTTGTTCAAGTATCGACTACTTTTAGTGCCAGTACATCTCAATAATCATTGGACCATGGCATTAATCAACATTAAAAGTCACATGATCCAGTATTATGACTCGGTAGGATCAAAGAATCCTACCTGTCTAAAGGTAGGTATAACTATTTTTATTAAGTAATTAAAAAATTCAGTTATTTATTCTAGTAAATATACATTTTT